CGGCCGCGCTCGCCGCCGCTGTTGCTGTCGCCTCTGCTGTTGTTGCCGCCGCCGTTGCCGTCGCCGCCGCTGCCGCCGCCGCCCCTGCCCGGGGAGCCGCAGGAAGCTGCCGCCTGCTGCAGCTCGCTGAGCTGGCGCTTCAGCTTCCGCACCTCGCCCTCCCACGCTTCCTCTTGCGCCTCGCCGGGCGCCTGGGAGGCCCCACACATGGCTGCCACCTCCAGCATTGCCTCCCCAGCTTGGACGGCCAGCTGCGCGGCAGTTGCCCGGATGAGTAGCTGCTGCCGCTCGGCTTGGAGCTCTGTGATCTATCGCAAGGGGAGCGGCGCGGAAGCAGCGGGACGGGCGGCGCGCGGCCCGCGGAATTAAACAACATGAAGCAACAGGTGGGCTGTGCACGCTCGGGTTGGCGCGAGACCCCGCGGCGCGCACAGCTGCCTGCGCGCGAGCGCGCTCTGACTATGTGTGTGCGCATGTGTGCTCTTTGTGTTTGGATTTCCGCATGGGGCAGGGCGAGGGCGGGGGGGGGGGGGTGCGTGGGCGCTTCCGGGGGGTGCATCCGCAGGGGGGCGCTCGCGGGCGCGCCTGGGCCGGGCCCACCTTGCCCTGAGTCTTGACCACGAGCCGCTCAAGCTTGGCGATCATCGCTTTCGCCTCCGCATTGACGTCCCGCGGGGCGCCGGGGGCCCGCCGCCTCATCCTCGGCGCCGAGGCGGCGCGGCGTCGGGGCCGACGCCGGTTCAGCTGCTGGGTTGTGGCTGCGAGGGGGCCTGGAGGGCGCCCGCGGCGGGGGTCGGGCGCGCTAGCCCCTGGCCTCGGCGGGCGCAATTTGGGGATGTTCTGGGCTCCCGGTGGGTGTGACGCCGCCGGCCAGGTGTTCGCTGCTGGGGCGCGAGATGGGGGGCCCAAAGAAAGGCGTGTTCGCGCTGTGCTACGCTCGCGTTTATGGGTGTTGCTGCAAGTGGCTACACACACGCTGGAGACACACGGGGGTGATGCCAGTGTAAGTTCTTGACACGATATAGGACGATGTCTTTGCTACAGGCGGCCACTTTGGTCCGAAGTGCGTAGTGACTGCTCATCAAATTATGAGCAGCGGTGCCCGAGCGGGTGGCAGCGAGAGACGCGGGTGATGTTGCGAAATGTGCTCAGCCGTTACGATATATCATATTCACAACAAACCGCGAAAGAGTTAGTCGCAGCTTCGTGCACGGGGTCAGGACACTGCAAAGGGAAGTGTGTCCGATGTGCTGTGTGACTGATCCTGGTTCATATAGGACACGCTAGTTGCAATCAACTGTGTTTTGTGTCCAGAGGCCGCTGGCAGAGCAGTTTGTGGGCACGCAGTACTGGCGCGAGCTGAGATCGTTGCAGCTGCGCACCTTGCATCATTGCAAGCAAGCAAGGAAATGTCACTCATCTCATGATTGAAGTAGGCAAAGAATCGCGCACTTCTTGCTACAATGTGTGTCCGGCAGCCAGTCACAGGGCCCTGCCGAGTGAGCAAGGGGGCGGCGCCGTCATTGCTGTTGTGGCCCGCTTGAAACCCTCCTGGTATTACGCCCGCAGTCATCAGGGAGTTCGTGCTGTGAGCTGCCCTGCAGGACCACTAGTAGCATCTCATCTGCTGCTACTCAGTAATTTGTTCCTAAATTGTCACCACCAGATACCCATGCGAGTGAAGTATGCGTGGGCTCCAGTAGCCTGGCTTGTTTCGCCCCCTCATGCCCCAACCCGCTGCAAACTCCTCTGTATACACACGTCTTGATATATCCTGCTCGCAGCAAAAGTAGTCGATTCGTGGTGATGTCGAGATGGGGGGCGGGTAAGCTTGCGCGGCTGCGCTCTCCCATGCACAGGCCGATGCGCAGTTTTGCAGCCCGTCGCGCTGCATGGTGTCGAGCACATGCAAGACTGGGCTGGGCTTTGGGCTTGAGCAGTGCTGTAAAGCATGAGAAGTCTCCAGCATCGCTTCGCTCCAGAGGGTATATGGGAGGGTTACAGCTGCAGGATCCGCGCTGGTTGCAGCAAGCAAGCAATACGTGCGTGGTGGGAAGAGGCGCGCCACCCCCGGCGCGTGGGCAGGCAGGCATGGGCGGGAGGGGCACGCGAACGCAAATCAATCGGCGCCGACGCATTTTGAGGGGCAAAGATGGGCCGCAGTCCTGTCGACCAGACACAAAGTGACAATCATGATGATCACGAACAGGGTCCCTAGAACGGGGCTTGAGAATAAAGTGCTACTGTCAACAATGAGTGGAAACCAACAACAGCAAAAACACAGCGGACCAACTAACCTAACAACGCCCCCTCGGCCGCGGCGCGCCACGGCG